CCTTTGTTTGGTGGCAATTTTCCTAATTCTGGATGGAGAAAAAAATTTACCTGGACTAAGAACAATAATCCTTTCTTCACTACATTTTTCTTGGCATGCATTAGTGATTAAACTTGAAAAGACTCCAAAGGGAGGGAAAAAAGTAAAAATACCACCACTGACAAGATTAATTCTGCATTATAAATTTAATAGCACATTACTTCATCATTAGCAATTTCTCTAGAAATGCTTTGTGGTATTCTCAAAAATTAAAGATGGGTGGAAAAGATATTTCAAATAAAGCTTTAGGCTTCAAGAATGCTTTCTACTTGAGAGTGTATGAGCAGACATAAAATTAAAATGTCAGACTTTTGTTCCACATAGTTTATGTAAGCTGATTTTAGACAAATATGCCTAAGAAACAATGCAGCAAGCCATTTTGGAAAGAGATTTTGCTGCATTCCTTTGAGCATTAGTATCAATGTCCATGTATGTGGGCTGGGAAGGTGGTTCAGTGGTAGAGTGCTTGCCTTGCATGCATGAGACCCTGGGTTCAATTCCTCAACATCACATAAGCAGAAAAAGCCAGTAGTGGCACTGTGGCTCATGTGGTAGACACTAGCTTTGAGCTGAAGAGCTAAGGGACAGCGCGCAGGCCCACAGTTCAGGCCCCACAACTGACAAAAAAAAAAAAAAAAAAAAAAGAACCAATGTCCATGTGAAGTGTTGCTATTCATAAATATCCCTGAGGGCTTAAAGTTGTAGTAACTTGATCAGAGCTGGCAGTCAGGGCACTGCTCAGAGATTCATGGCATCCAGGTTTGTATAAAGCTACAGGTCACTTGCTCATTGGTCTGTCTGTGCTTCCTTCCAGTTCTTTTTCTAATAAAAATCTCGGAGACCAAAGTTTCTGTTTGAAAAGACTTCTCTGGAATTCCAAAAGGCTTTTCTAGGGATTTCAGGCTATACTATGGCCACCATCTAATGGATTAGAGATACTTCACTTTGGGCTTCAGATAGCCCGAAGGAGATACATGAAACAATGTATGTTCCTATCATGCATTTCAATCTGAGCAGCAGCTAGCATATTAGGAAATATTAGACATGGAAGAGATATCACTTATAGGACTCACTCTCCTTTCATTCTCTCAGTAAGATTAACTCCCCAATCTAAACCCAAATTAGCCCCCATTAAGGGTAACTACTTCTCTTAGGAAATTATTCTAGGCCCAAGAAGACCTTACCATGGCTAATTTTATCTTTCCATATGAAATTCTGAGTATTTGATTTCATAGAATTCATTCTAAATTCAGGCTACTTGTTGCTCACTTCTATTCAACTTGGTGATGGCTAAGTAGGTAATGAGTTTATTTGTCTCATGCAACACTTGACAGAGTAGATGCTCACTCATTATCAGTTTCTTTTTTTTTTTTTTTTTGTCGGTCGTGGGGCTTGAACTCTGGGCCTGGGCGCTGTCCCTCAGCTCTTCAGCTCCAGGCTAGCTCTCTACCACTTGAACCACAACGCTGCTTCCAGTTTTCTGGTGGTTTATTGTAGATAAGAGTCTCATGGACCTTGATGCCCGGGCTGGCTTTGAAACGTGATCCTCAGATCTCAGCCTCCTGAGTTGGTAGGATTATAGGCCACCAGCTGGTGAGCCACCAGCGCCCAGCTTCATTATCAGTTTCTTACTGTCAAATTATTTCATATGAAGTATTGCTAGAATTTAACTTGGAAAATGTGTTTTGAAAAGTACTCAGTCAGTACAGAGAAGTGGCAGAGTTAGGTAGTATTTCTTACCAATGGACTTGGGTATGGCTCTGTATTTCAGCATTCATTCATATGCTTTAGGTACTGGGCCTGAATCCTAAACTGTTCAGATGGAGACAAACTAGCAAGAATCTCTTGTAAAAGAACTTAGTTGTCTGTTTTGGGGTTGCATTCGCTATAGACGCTTTCCTTCTTTCTAGGAGCTGTTGCTGGCTGCAGGAAGCTTTATAATCCATCAGTTGGGCAGGTTTCTACCTCCTTCCATGAGTTTCATTTGTGTTTTCAGAGACTGTAAATTTCCAAGTCTACTCCAAGTGTGTCAGAGAGTAAGGGGAAGAAAAAAAAAGGGAAAAACTAAGGGACTAACGAGTTCTGGTTTTTGGTCTCAGTGCTTTCACACCTACCAGTTTACCTCTCTGTAGAGGGGAGGAAGCTGTGAAAATTCTATGATTTGGAAGATCTGGGATCATGGCTGTCAGTCGTGCAGCTCTTGAAGATGGGTGTCAGTAATTTTTAGATCTTACCCTACAATCTATCTCCTTGTTGGAGCAAGGGGCTATAGAAATCACATGATTTAATGGCCTGAGTTAAAGGATCTCAGTCCTACCTAGCAGCAAACACAACCTAGAATAGAGTTCCCAGGGGCAGCTCTCAATGCTTTCAGATCCTACCCAATGCTTCACTTCTCTGTAGTGGGGAGGAGTAGATAGAAATGATCTAATTAAGAGTACCTTGGCCCAGGGTTCTCAGCCCCACATGGTAGTCAACATACATTATCAGGAGACACAACCTGGAGCTGAGTAGCAGGCCATCCATGAGCTTTGGCATCTTTTCCACTCAGACATACAATGGGATTTGTTATTCACCAGTGAAAAGACGACTTCTAATTGACTTTGAATTCAATGCCCTCTATACACTCTCACTGCTGGAACTTTTCTGTGTGTCTACAAACTCTCTAATCCTTTAAGAACACCTCTTGTGGTTGTCTATGTCTCAAAAGCTATGATGGTTCCTGTTTTTAAGCTTCCAGAATAACTCCCACTCAAACAAAAGGGCTCTCTCTTAAGATGATGTCTTGCAATAGTTATTGAGAATAAGGAAATAACAGAATATCTTTCTTCACCAAAATTGTCCATATACACAAGAGTAGTAACTGTCCCTCTAATTCCCCTCACTTCGTTTAAGGCTTGCAGATTTATCCTGCAGGTAGAACTTCTAGTCTGTAACTAGCAGATTGTGTTTTTATCTTTCCCTTTCCCCACCAGAGAAGCTGGAGATGGAGTCTGGGATTGTTTTCTTTTGTTATTGTTGTTGTTGTCTTTTGGTAGTCCCATAATTTTCTAGCCACCTCTTCTGTAATTCTTAATATTCTTTTCTCTCTCTCTCAGAATATTGTCTACCCTGTTAACCTGACTCTGCTCATTTGTACAATGAACCTTTAATCAGCCATCTTGCTCTGCATATCCTTCTAATTATTTATCAGTTTTTTCTTAGATCTTGAGAAGAAGAAAAATTGAGAATGCTCATGAAGGTGTTACTAGCACATTCATGAATGTGCTATATGTAGTAGCACATTCATGTAACCCACTTTTCTATTTTATTGGATGTTAAAAACAGTAAATGAGAGCTGGGCACCCGTGGCTCATGCCTGTAATCTTAGTTACTCAGGAGGCTGAAATCTGAAGATTGCAGTTCAAAGCTAGCCCAGCCAGGAAAGTCCATGAGACTCTTATCTCCAATAAGCCACTAGAAAACTGGAAGTGGTGCTGTGGCTCAAATGGTGGAGTGCTAGCCTTGAGCTGAGGAGCTAAGGGACAGCGCCCAGGCCCAGAGTTCAAGCCCAACAACTGACAAAAAAAAGAGTAAATGACTGCACATATTTTTGTATCTTCAGAGTATTATTAAAACAGGGATTTAAGCTAAATAATTTCTAGGAAAAAATCAGTGTTCATTATAAAATATTCTACCAACATACATCATGCAAGGAGTTTAAAAATATTTTAAAGCCAAGTGCTGGTGGTTTACACCTGTAATCCTAGCTAATCAGGAGGTTGAAATCTGAGGATCATGGTTTGAAACAGTTTGAGCAGAAAAGTCCATAAAACTTTTATCTCCAATTATATATAAATAAATACTTATTTAAATTTATGTTTAATTATATATACATACACACAGTTTAGAAAGAGAAGATCATCTAAAATTAAATGAAATTCTTTTTGACTATATGTTAAGATTAAGCTATACTTTCTTTGCAAATACGACACCATATTTTTAGAGACATATTAAGACTGGATATGTAGAGCACATGATATAGTTGATCTAGTTGTTCACAATGACTATCAAGTTGTTTCTATTTCAATGAAGGCTCTAAATTCACAGAAATTTAGCAGCATGCTGTTTCCATAGCAGCAGATAAAGAATAAAACTAAAACATTTTGATTTTTTTAGATAGGGTTTAGAGAATTTGGTCTCATTTTTGGTAATGATGGTATTCGTTCTCTCTCATAAAGTCTTTAGAAATATATCATTTTGCTCTTTTCTAAATGTATTTAGTACACTATATACATTTTAAAGGTCAATAGTTACATGCTTATGATTATGTAGCATAATCAATATATAACTTAGCATTAAAGAGATGCTAAATCATGTAGTCAAGATTAGGATAAAATATTGTAGCTATATGTAAAATATAACTACATTAAAAATGCTTTTAGGGCAAAGCACTGGTGGCTCCTGCCTGTAATCCTAGCTACTCAGGAGGCTGAGATCTGAGGATCGCGGTTCAGAGCCAGCCTGGGCAGGAAAGACTGTGAGACTCTTATCTCTAATAAACTACTCAGAAAACCAGAAGTGATGCAGTGGCTCAAGTGGTAGAGTGCTAGCCTTGAGCTGAAGAGCTGAGGGACAACATTCAAGACCAGAGTTCAAGCACCATGACTGACAAAAAAAATGCTTTTAGGTAATCCATTAGTGGTTAAAAACCCAACATAACAATTTAAGTTCTTATTAGCTTAGGAAGACTCAATCATTGAGGATCTAGCATTTGAATGTAAATGGAATAGCTACCAGATGCAAGTTTCTTCATCGTTCATGTGGCTGCATGGCAGGCAAGTGAAACTGGAAGCATAATTCCATGTGACTATGCTAAGCAAATGGGGAATAGAGTTTCTTATTTTGTGTTACATGTTATATGGCCAATTGTTTGCATTTCTTAACATTTCTGTTTGTCCAAATGTGGGAAAATGGCCCACCTGTAACGGACATACAGCCTAAAGGCGCAATGAGCGTGATGGGGGCGACTCCATAGGCTGCGAAGTTCCCGGTCTCTCCCACAGCCATCAGCAGGACTCCACCCCACCAAAGCACGCTCTTAAAGTAGGGCTTTGGATGCTCTTGTTGTGCCAGCTGAAGATGAGAATATTTCTAGGAGTAAAAGCAGAATGTAAATAAGAAAATATTTCTACCCAATTAAAACCTCCTTTGAAAATTTGACTCTTATCAATCTGTACCATGACTAATTTTTTTTTTTTTTTTTGGGTCCAGTCGTGGGGCCTGAACTCTGGGCCTGGGCGCTGTCCCTCAGCTCTTCAGCTCAAGGCTAGCACTCTACCACTTGAGCCACAGCGCCACTTCCGGCTTTTTTCTTTTTGCTTATGTAGTGCTGAGGAATCGAACCCAGGGCCTCATGCATGCAAGGCAAGCACTCTACCACTGAACCACCTTCCTAGCCCCATGACTAATTTTTTATAGATTATTCTAAAATAATTATTATGATTTCCTATTTGTACCAAACATATTACTGGCAGAAGCAACTCATATTTATGTAGCAATTTATAATTTGAAAATATTTATTTATTTAATACTAGTCCTAGGGCTTGAATTCATGGTTGGGGCACTGTCCTTAATCTTTTCTACCACTTGAGCTGCAGCTCCATGTCCAGTTTTTTGGTAGTTAACTCGAGATAAGAGTCTTGCAGGCTTTCCTGCACTGACTGACTTTAAATCATGATTCACAGATCTTAGCCTCCCGAGTAGCTAGGACTACAAGCCACAGGACCCCAGTTGAAGGGTATTTCTGATACATGAACATGGTGTTATCCTTCATTGGTTTGATTCTACTTCACACTGATTCATTAAGTTACATAAAATTTTGATTCAATTTATGATTTGGCTTAATGTCAACATTTTATTCCATTTTTAGCTTAGCAATTTTTCTGGATCTTTAATTCAGTTTAAGTTAAACTTTCTATTTTATATGCTATGTTCTTTCAAGACTTTTAGTCTACACAGACATATCAAATAGTATTTTAAAGAAAGGAAATATCTTACTCCCATGAAGTGCTGCTAAAAATTATCTATAGCCCATCTGAGAATAAATCTTATGTCAGAAAGCAGGTATTGAAATTCAAATCCAGTGATTAATCCACTGAATGTAGTTGGTGTCTTGTCTAGAGTCTATGAATATTTGAGAACAACAAAAAGATTTAATTTCTTTTAAAAAACAGAGAAACAAGACAGGTACTGATGGCTTATATCTATAATCTTAGCTATGCTGGAGGCAGAAATCATGAAGATTACTGTCTGAAGCCAGCCCAGGTAGAAAAGATTGCAATACCTTCATCTTAACCATTAGCTGGGCATAGTGTGAGCATTTGTCATTTTAGCTACATAAGAGACTGAGATTGGAAGGATCATAATTCTAGGTCAGCTCAGGTAAAAACATTTGGGAGACTCTATCCAAAACCAAGAGCTGGATGTAGTATTCAATGCCTGTAATCACATTTACAGCGGGAGGCATAAATAGGAGGCCCACAACCAAGCTTTCCTGGGCCTAAAAAGTGAGACACTTCCCAAAATAACCAGAGCAAAATGAGCTGGAGGCATGGCTCAAATAGTAGAGTCCCTGCCTAGCCAGTGTGAAGTCTTGAAATGAAATCCCAGTAACCACCAAAAATATGAATGCAGTACAGCCTGGATTATATTTGTTTTTAATACTGAAGGTCACAAAATAGAATTTTCTATTTTTTACAGAGGAAAGATTTGCAAAAGTGCATGAAAGTGACAAGGTACCCACAAAATCAAGCAAAGAGTTAGAAAATATGGTTTTCCTTACCTGGATATTTAGAGAAATGCTGATTACCAAGTTTCCTAAAATGGCCAGCAAAACTCCAAAAAGGTGAATCTGTGAAAGAAAACATTGTCAAAAAGGTATTTTTTAAAATAGTGCTTGCAAGATTTTTTACTGGGGGGAAAAACAGACAAATTTAAGTTGATATATATTCATTCATTCAGCTTTATTCAACATTAATTTGTCAGGTTTGGAATATGACCATAGTTAATCAGGATTATTTTTTCACTTTGAATCAAACATTAACTTTTAGAAAGAACTCTGTCTTTTACTGAATTTTCTAGGTATTGGGTCTATCTTATCCTTTAAATAATCATTATTTTTTCTCAGATAATACTTACTTATTCTTTCTGTCCATTTTTTTTTTTGTCGGTCATGGGGCTTGAACTCTGGGCTTGGGTGCTGTCCCTCAGCTCTTCAGCTCAAGGCGAGCGCTCTACCACTTGAGTTACAGTGCCACTTCCGGTTTTCTAGTGGTTTATTGGAGATAGGAGTCTCACAGTCTTTCCTGCCTGGGCTGGTTTTGAATCGTGATCCTCAGATCTCAGCCTCCTGAGTAGCTAGGATTACAGGCATGAGCCACCGGTGCCCAGCTCTGTCCATTTTTGTAGGGGGTCTTATATACTCTGAATATGGTATTAAAGAAGTACTATTAAATTTGAAGTTAAAGAAAAATCTGACACATGAAGCTGTTATTTTCTTTCTTTCTTTTTTTTTTGTTTCTCCCATCATTGGGCCTGGACTCTGGGCCTGGGCGCTGTCCCTCAGCTCTTTAGCTCAAGACTAGAGCTCTACCATTTGAGCCACAGCACCACTTCCGGCTTTTTCTGCTTATGTGGTGCTATGGAATTGAACCCAGGGCTTCATGCATGCAAGGCAAGCACTCTACCACTGAGCTACCTTCCCAGTGCCTGAAGCTGTTATTTTCTAATTTCCCTTCCCAGGCTTCAGTAATAAGGCAACTTTGGATGTTTCCGGAAAACCCTTTACCCCTAAAGCTCAAGTTTTCCATCCACCACCCTCTTGTCAAGAACCTACACTATCTTTGTGCAGCTAGATTCCCACATTCGGCTCTCACCCAGCTCCTCATGGCACATGTATCTCCTCTGCCTCGGGTGTCTGGCACCTGCCACCCTCTGGCCAACTGGGACGCTCGTTCATGCTGCTGTACTTATCAGGATGGTGTGGCTCCCCCACTCCCTCAACATGCCCAACCCACTCTAATCAAGCTTCACACTTGTGCCTTCCAGAGGTCCACTTCCTTGAAGACTTCTCAGACCACATCAATCCATTTTACTTTCCTAGACTCTAAGCCAGGCCATATAAGGCTTGGAGAAATCACCAGGTACATGACAGGACTAACACTTATGCTTCTTGTCAGCCGCCTGCAGGTGTATGCCTGCACTGATAATTTTGTATAGCCTACAAATGATGTCTCTGTAGCCCACAAATGGCCCTTGGCAGAAATAAGGTTCCTCAACCTTGCAAGTAGTAAATGTTCCTTAGTTCTTCTTTGATATTATCACATGTATCATTAGTCTTTACAAAGGGAAGGCAATCCTCTTTGGCAGGAGAACCAAGTCTTAAGCTTCTATTGAGTCTTCTAAATCATCTACTGCACAAAATTAGGGGTTTAATGAATACCTGCTTGAGAAGTATGCAATAGTTTCAATAGGAACTGCAAAGGTTAAAAAAAAGTTCTTACACATTGCTCAAGGTGTTTACCAAAGACAGCTCGTGAATTATTTGATGACTTCAAAAGATGCCTTTGCAGCTCCCACTTAGGTACAAAGATACAATGTCTTCTTTTAAGTGTAAATTAGCAATGATACAAGGATCTTTCCTCCTTCTTTTCTACAGTACATCAGTTCTAGCTAGCTTCCAATTCCAGAGCAATTTGAATTTCAAATGAATATTACAACCACAAGAAATCCTTTTCAGAATGCAAAATGTCTTTGAAGTTTCAGAGCTCTATTACATGAGCTGAAGTGAAATTCAGTATTAAAAATGAAGCTGAAAACTTGTTTCATATATGATATATAATATCCATGGTCTTTAATCAGTTGAGAATTTTTCCTAATAAGTACACTTGGCAATAATTTTGGTTGCTATTCCTCAGAGGGAACAGTTGTATCACAATACAAATACCATGTGAGCTTTCCACATTTTCTATTTACAATCTAATGCATTTGGCAATAATTAGGAAAATAAAGAATCAAAAGAAATTTGACATTGAATGGATACTTATGAAAGTCTCCTATAACTGCAAAAATAAATAGTTGAATAGACATAAATGACTTCAAGTTTTTAAAAATTATTCACTGAATATTTCAAATGACATCAGGCTGGCTGTTTAAAAACTGGGGGCAGAGTTTAACAATGATTTCATGAATATGACACCAAAATTAAAAATAGATCACATGCTTTTTAATTCCTGCTACTTGGTAAGTGGAGACAGAAGGACTGAAGTTGAGCTCATCACGTTAGCAAGACCCTATATCAACAAATAGGAGATACTGGTAGGAGTACTGTACTCCAAGACTAGCCCTGGACAAAAACACAAGACCTTATCTGAAAAATAATTTAATCAGAAAGAAATGGGGAGGTGACTTAAGTGGTAGAATGCTTGACTAACAAATGGAAGGCCAAGAATCCAAACTCTATTACTACCAAGAAGCATCCCAAAATTTTGTGAATGAAAGGATACTATCAAAATTAAAAAGGCAACTAATCAAATGGGAGAAAAGATTGGCATCTTACCTAAGTAGGGATTGATGTCTAGAATACTGTATATAAAAAATACCCACAATTTGCTGAGCACTGGTGCCTCACGCCTGTAATCTTAGCTACTCAGAAGACTGAGATCTGAGGATTTCAGTTCATATATAACCAGTCAGGGTAGGAAAGTCTAAGAGATTCTGATTTCCGATTAGATACCAAAAAAGCTGGAAGTGGGACTGTTGTCCAAGTAGTAGAGTGTTAGTTTTGAACACAAAAGCTCAGGGACAATGCCCAACCCTTGAGTTCAAACTTTGAGACAGGCACAAGGGTGCGCGCGCACTCACCCACACCCACATCTCAGCAACAAAACAAACATCCTGGTTTTAAAATGGGCAAAGGATTTAAACAGATATTTTTCAAAGAAGATATACAAATAGATGATAAGCATATGAAAAGATTCTCATTACTAATCATTTGGGAAATGAAAATCAAAAGCATAATGATATGCCAATGCACACCAAGTAAGTTGACTATTATAAAAATTTGAAGAGTGATAAGTGTTAGCAAGTATGCACACAATCAAAACTTCATACAATGTGTAAATGGTATGACCACTTTGGTACATACCTGGTCATTCTTCAAAATGTTATGAAATTTCCACTTTGTTCACAGCATGTATACAACACACATGAAAACATATGTTCATACATAAAACGTGTGTAAATGACTATAACAGTAATATTCATAATAGGCTAAAATGGAAATGATGAAAATATCTGTTAACTGATAAGCAGATGAACAAAATGTGGTATAGTCAGCAAAACATTAGTTGTTACGTTTTGTTTTGTTTTTTAATGGCATTGATGGCACCAGGCGCTGGTGGCTCACACTGGTAACCCTAGCTACTCAGGAGGCTGAGATCTGAGGATTGCAGCTTGAAGCCAGCCCAGGCAGGGAAGTCCGTAAGACTTTTATCTCTAATAAACGACTCAAAACAGCCAGAAATAGCTCTGTGGCTCGAGTAGTAGAGTGATAACTTTGAGCAAAAAGAAGCTCAGGAACAGTATCCAGGCCCTGAGTTCAAGCCCCGGGACAAAAAAATAAAATAAAAAAAGGCTCAATGGACTGATGTATGCTGTAAAATGAGTGAATCTTGAAAAAGTTCATGCTGAACAGAAGGATCCAATATGAAGTGTCCAGAATAGGCAAATCTATACAAATAGAAAGTGCATGAGTAGTTTGCTGAAAGGGTGAAGAATGGACAGCTGAGAGGTGACAAAGGATGTGGAATTTATATAGTATCTCCCCTCCCTCCAATAAAATGCTATATGTGTAATTATCTCCAGTCCAGTCTTTTCCCTCCAAGGGATAAGCAATTTTTTGTCTGAAGTGGTATAAAAATACATTCCTTTTGTTCCCAGGTTTTTCTTTTTTGGGGGGGGGGGGCGAGGGTTGGTCGTGGGGCTTAAATTCTGGACCTGGGCACTGCCCTCAGCTCTTCAGCTCAAGGCTAGTGCTCTACCATTTGAGCCACAGAGCCACTTATGGCTTTTTCTGCATATGTGGTGCTGAGGAATTGAACCCAGGGCTCAGGCATGCAAGGTAAGCACTCTATCACTGAGCCACCTTCTCAGCCCCTACAAGTACAACCATACATTTCCTTTTAAGTATACCTTCTGTTTTTTAGCTGCATGCAAAGTTTTGACATGTGTAATTATTGTTGTTCTATTCGAAATGTTTTCTAACTTTCTCATTTTTTGAATCTGAGCTTTTTATTTGGATGGAGTACTGATTATTGTGTTACTAATTTCTAATTTTATGATCAGAAAATATGTTGCATGTAAGTCAGAATTTACTTTATGATCTAGTCTATAGGGTAAAATGAAATCCATTTTATAGCTTGGAAGTGTGTGGTCAAGTTTTATCAGTGTTCACCACATGTTTGAAGCTAAAAGCATTAAAATGGGTTAAGCTATAATACTATATATAAGAGAGACAGACACCCATCTAATATGGTGTATGTTCTATCTATGTTTTCTCTTCATATTCTATTTCTAATTAATCCATTGACCAACTCTTCAATGCCCTTACTAAATTTAATTGCTTAATCTATCCATTTCTGAGAGCTATATTAAAGTCTGTTACAACTATGGACTTATCTATTTTTCCTTTTAAATCATTTGCTTTGCTTTACATGTTTTAAGGCCATAAAATTAGGTATATATAAATTCAGGACTGTTTTATCTTCCCACTTATTTGCCCTCTTTATTACTATGTATTTGCTTAATCTCAATAATGTTCTTTTTATTAACATCTATTTTATCTCCTATTAG